TGTGTCAGTGCGGGGGGCGGGGGGGGGGGGGGGGGGGGGGCTCTGCAACTACCTGGCTGCTTCTTGCTCTGACCAAGGGCTGCTGAGAGCAGGGGGTGGGGCTTGTTGCATGTGCCCGCCTCCTGGGCTCTTTACTGCCAGAGCTCCGCTCCTGTGCGCTCCTGCAGGAAGTAACCCCTGTTGTTGTTGCTGCTCTATAAAGTGCCATGCATGTTGAGGCCAGTGCACTGATAATGGCAGTTGTGTCCTCTCCTCTCCCCCCAGCGCCTCCTACTGTCTCCGTGGCGCCCAAGGGCCCCATCCAGGTGAAGGTGGGCAAATCTTTCAGTGTGGACTGCCAGGGCACGGGTGAGCCCCGCCCACTGGTCCGCTGGAGCAAGCTGGGTGTCCGACACAAGGTGGAGAATCAGGATCCAATACTTGCGGAGAGCCGATCAACTTTGCAGGTGGGTCAGAGGGGGTGGCGGCAGAAGCTCTAAGCCAAGCTGTGGGTGTCCTGAGGATGTATAATTTCCCTTTCGAAGTCCATCCCCCCCACCACCATGGTCAGTCCCAAGAGCAAGAACTGCTGTCCAGTCTTTTGACTTCCCCCGTCTCTGTCTCTGAGGTGTGATTCTCTAGCAGAGGTAAATCCTGTTTCTCAGTCCAACCAGAGTCCTTTGTGTTGGGGAGGGGGGTGGATGACTCAACCCCCCAGGACCTTTCTTTCTTTGCCAGCTATGCATTTGCCGCTAGGCCTCAGGACATAGGCAGAGCGCAGTCCCAATTATTGAAATATAAATGTGGTCTCTAGGGTGGAGGGCTATTTCACTCTTCTTCCACCTTGGTATATGTCAGAGGTGGCCAAACTCACTTAACGTTAAGAGCCACATAGAATAAAGTGAGATGTTTGACAGTCTCAAGACATGAACAAATATTAGAGCCAGTTTGGTGTCGCGGTTAAGTGCGCGGACTCTAATCTGGGAGAACGGGGTTTGATTCCCCACTCCTCCACTTGCACCTGGCTGGATGACCTTGGGCAAGCCATAACTCTGGCACAGCTGTTCTTGAAAAAGAGCAGTTTCTGTCAAGAGTTCTCTCAGCTCCACCTACCAATAACTTTAGATGGGGGAAGGGAGGGGAGAAAGAGAGAGAGAAAGAAAGGTGGAAAGAAAGAAAGTGGAAAGAAAGCAAATAGATGGGGGGAGGGAGGAAGAGGTGGAAAGAAAGCAACTTTAATGTTAAATGTGTCCTCCAAGACCCCCACCCCCCACCCCTCACACCTGCTAGCTTGGCTTGGAGAAGGGATTTAAAGAGACAGATGCCTTCTCCAAGCCAGCTGGTGGGGGTGGGGCTTTGAGAATGCATTTAAAGTTGGAGTTGCTTTCTGTCTCTGCACTGGCTGGGGAAGGGAAGACCAATTGGGAGGCAGGCCTCCCCTTTGCTTCCCCAGCCACTGTAGCGGGAGCCGCACAATATGTGTGAAAGAGCCACATGTGGCTTCCGAGCCACAGTTTGGCCACCCCTGGTATACGTGGTGGGGTTGGGTGGGGAGTCCCAGGAAGGTGGAGGGGTGTTAGGGCCGGCCTCCTGCAGCTGGGATGAGTACGGCCCATCCCACTGCTGTGCGCTTCCAGTCTCCCCAGGATGCAGCCACCCTGCCGTGCCCCCCCCCCGAGGTGTGGGCCTGGCCCCTGGCCCCCTGCAGGCAGTGGTAACCCTGCTACTCAGCTCAGCCCCCGCTCTCCCCACCTCACAGGTCAAATCTGTGAAGCTTGGAGATGCGGGGACGTACGTGTGCCTGGCTCAGAACGCCCTTGGGATGGCGGAGGCGCAGGTGGAAGTCAGTGTGGAGAGCGTCCATGGGAGACCCGGGGCACCGGAGGTCAACGTGAGCCCCACCCTGACCGTGGTCACTGGACAGACGGCACGGCTCCACTGCTCTGCAACAGGTGTGTGTGGGGAGGGGGGCTGGGGGGGGAGGAAATGGGATGACACCGAGGCGTCTGCCCGGCACCGTGAGGGTGACTCCCTCGTTGAGGGCTGTGGTGGGACCCCTCCAGCGGGGCTGCTGTGAGCCCTTGGCCGGGGCCTGGCCACCCATTCCGTGCGTCCTCTTCCTGCCAGGGGATCCCGTTCCCACCATCCAGTGGTCCAAGCTGAGGGCCCCCTTGCCCTGGCAGCACCAGCTGGTGAACGACACCCTGGTCATCCCCCGGGTGGCTCAGCAGGACTCCGGGCAGTACATCTGCAACGCCAGCAACGCGGCCGGCTTCACGGAGGCCTTTGTCATGCTGGACGTGGAGTGTAAGTGGGGGTGGAGGGGCCGGGCTGGGAGGGAGGGTGGGCAGGGGGCCGAGGGGCCAGGGAGGGGTGTCCAGGGAGTGGGGGTGGAATTTAAAAAAAAATATTAATTAAACTTTTACTGATAACACGTAATGAGTAACATACATAGCTGAGAAATAACCAATACAATACAATACAGTATAATGCAACTACACAGTGTTACCCAGCACGTTATCAGCTTTTACAATATACAAACAACTTAGAAAAGTGTTAGTATCTTAACTTCAGAGGCCGACTTTATGTAGATAGAAATATAAATATGCTGGCTATAACATAGGATGTTTAGGAGAATTTGATGGGATCGTGAACGTGACAGCATTAACAAAAACATGAGAGTGTATCCACTTTTGAGGAATCTAGAGATCTGAGTAGGGCATCTTTAGATGCAGCTAGAAACGAGTACCATTTCGCCATAAAACGCCTATGGCCCGGCTCGATTTGATGTTGGGCTTCCCAGTCAGATATTTTGTCTGAGATAAAATAGTCCCAAACCTTATTTTACCATTGCTCAATTGACGGGACCGATTGACTTTTCCAACATGTTGCAATATTATTTTTGGCTGCTGTGAGTAGCACCGGAATCAATTCCTTATCGTTGGCAGAGGTCTGTGATTTAGGCCATAGATTTAAAAGTATTAAGGCTGGGTCTTTAGGGACGTCATGTTCAGTGAGTTTCTTGATTTCATTCAAGACCGTGGCCCAGAATCTTTCTCTTTTCGGACAGGACCACCAGTTATGAAAGAAAGAGCCTTGTCTGCCACACTTGTTTCCAACATAGGGGCGAAAGTGAAGGAAACAATGAAAGTTTAGCTGGTGTGGTATACCAACGGAGCAAGAGTTTAACTGCTTGTGTTTGAATAGGAACTGATCTAGTTGAGAGAAGATGAGATTTCCAGATACGTCTCCATTGATCTTCTGAAAGTGTCTTGCCAAGATCTTCATGCCAAGCTTTCTGCGAGGGTGTTAGGCTAGGCTGGGGCATATTCAAAAGAAATGTGTATATCCTGCTGAGCGTGCACAGCAAGGCTTCATAGTCTGGACTGCAGAGGGCCAGAAAGCCCACCCTCGTGCCTCACACACCTCTCGCTCAGGCCAAGACCCAAAGGAACGCCGGGTGCCGCTTCCTCCCAAGCCAGACTGCCAAGGCGATCCACTCCACGTGGCTCCCTCTGCCCGGCGGTGGCTCTGCCCTCCTTGAGACCTGATGCATGCAAAGCGACTCCTGGCTGAGCTGAGGGAGTTCCCTCCCTCCCGAGGGCCTGAGTTTCTTCTCTCCCTCAGGACGGCAGCCATGCCTGGCTGGGGGCCGCGGGGGCGTGGAGGAACCACACGGGCGCCGCCCTGGCTGACCTCTCTCCTCTCCATCCCCAGCCCCACCGTATGCAACCACCCTCCCGGACGTGGCGTCGGTACGGGCAGGCGATGTGATACAATTCCAGTGCCTGGCCCACGGCACCCCGCCCCTGCGGTACGAGTGGTCCAAGGCCAACGGCAGCCTCCCTGGCCATGCGTTGGTGCGCGAGGCTGTTCTGCACATCAGTCCCGCCACACCCCAGGATTCGGGCACCTACCGTTGCCTCGTCAGCAACCGGGTGGGCTCCGCTGAGGCTCTGGCGCAGGTCCGGGTGCGAGGTGAGTGGCGCTGAGGGCCCAGGAGAGGGGGCGCGGGTGTGCCCCAGGCTGAGCCAGTGTGGGGTCCTGTGGCTGGAGTGTTAAACGTGCTCCGAATCTGGGAGAGCCGTGTTCGAATCCCCACTCTGCCACGAAGCTCGCTGGGGTGTTGTGTGAGGATAAAATGGGGAAGGGAGATTCGCAGATGCCGCCGTGAGCTCGTTGGAGGAAAGGCGGACTATGGATGTCCTGGAGAGGATAAAATCTGTGGGCCAGCCACAGGAGCCAGGACATTCTGCCCAGAATCCCCAGCCAGGGTTGGAGTCCTCCTCTGGCCATGGGGGAGGGAGAGGCAGCTGGCGCTGGAGCCTTTCAGGGGATGCTCCTGCAGTCATCCAGCAGGCAGGACGGGGATTCGAACCTGGGTCTCCCTGGTCCTAGTCCAACCCTCTGACCACCGCGGCAAAGGCTGGGATGGCTCATCCCATCTTCTCCCCCTGTGTAGGCCCAGTTGGCGGACCCCCCTCTGTCCAGATCTCCCCACAGAGTGACACGAAGGCCGTGGGCAGTGTGGCCGAGTTCACGTGCTCAGCTGCCGGAGACCCCGAGGCACAGATCGAGTGGTTCAGAGAGGATGCGGAGCTGCCCCCCAGCCACAGCATCCAGAACGGGGTCCTTCGGTAAGGAGGGACCCGCAGGGATCCCGCGACAGGGAATCGGCTGTGATGGGGGTGGGTGGGGGAGGGAAACCAGGGTGATGAAGGGGCAGTGAGCAGAGGGAGGAGTGGAAGGCACTCTGGGGGCAGCTGTGTGGGGAAAGTGGGAGGGAGGGAGGGGCTCCCGCTTCACACCAGGTCTCATCCCCCCACCTCTTGCTCTCTCCCCCCCCCCCAATCTGGAGCCTGTCTCCTGATGGAGGGTAGAGCGGAGAAGCTCCCTCCTGGGGGGAGCCCCTGCAGGGAGACAAGCGGCCAGCAGGGGGGGGGTGTGGCAACTACCGGGCACAGGAGGCCTGGCAGAGGCTGGGGGGCGGAGGGGAGGGGAGCGGAGCCCCCCCCCCGACCCTTGTTGCTCTCCTGCAGGATCGAGAAGGTGGACCGGGGGTGCCAAGGCGTGTACGTCTGCCGGGTCAGCAGCCCCTCCGGACAGGCTGAGGGCAGGGCCAGGCTGGTCGTCCAGGGTGAGTGGAGCTGGGCGGGCAGGAGGGCGGGGAGAGCCTGGTGGCAGAGCGGGCCGTCCTGGCTGGGGCTCCCGGGGGCCCTGCTCAGAGGCATCCCTCCAGCCAGATTGCCCCCCCCCCACTCCCCCTCCGCAGACTCCTCACTGTGGAACTGCCCCGGGGAGACCTTCAGGCCAGGTGTTAGGTGGTGACGCGCGGGTTCCTCGCGGGCCGCAGCCATGTGTGGGACCGTGCCCTGGAGGGCTTGGGGTCGGGTGACTCATCCCCTGGCACCTTTCCTTTTCTTGCCACTGGGCTCTGGTTCATAAAGAGGGCTCAATCCCAACTCTGGAAATACCAATATGATTTCTACGTCGGAACACGTTTCGCCACATGCCCTGAACCCTCAGCTCCGTAAAAGTAGAATCCCTGCTGAAATAGCAGGCTGCAACGCTTTGAAGTGAATCCGGCCCCGGCCTGTTCCCCTGAAATGGGAAGCGTCACCCCAAGAGCTGCAGCCATGCCTAGCCCAGGAAGGGACTGTCCACACGCTACCAGCCCCTGAAGTCAGGCCTTCTCCGTGTACAGGAGCAGCTGCTCCCTTTGGCCACCTGGCGGGGGGCCACTCCTTCCCCCCCCCACCCACTGCTTCTCCTTCCATCTCCAGCATTGCCCAAGGTGATGATCAACATCCGGACGTCGGTGCAAACAGTGCTGGCGGGCAACGCGGTGGAGTTTGAGTGCCTGGCCTTTGGGGACCCCAAGCCACACGTCACCTGGAGCAAGGTGGGCGGGCGGATGCGGCCGGAGGTGCTGGTGAGCGGCGGCATGGTGAAGATCGAGCGGGTGGAGCAGGCCGATGCCGGGCAGTATCGCTGCACCGCCACCAACAGTGCTGGCACGGTCCAGTCCCACGTCATCCTGCACGTCCAGTGTAAGTGCGGACCAGCCGTGCTGAGGTCTCCTCCTCCTCTTCCTTCCTCAGCAGGCGCTCCCGCCACTCACGGGCCTGTGTGTCTTCTCCCTGCAGCCGTCCCCCAGATAGCAGCCCAGCCGGAGGTGAAGGAAGTCACGGCCGGGTCCAAGGTGGTCTTCCCCTGCATGGCCTCTGGCTTCCCGGTCCCTGACATCTCGTGGACCAAGGTCAGCCTCCAGCAAGATGGGCTAGGATAGCAGCGGACACTGAGAACCCAACTGAGAGCCAGCTTGGTTTCGTGGTTAGGAATGCGGACTCTAATCTGGGAGAACCGGGTTTGATTCCCCACTCCTCCTCCACATGCAGCTGGCTGGGTGACCTTGGGTCAGTCACAAGTTCCTTCAGAGCTGTTCTCTCAAGGACAGTTCTCTCAGAGCTCTCTCGGCCCCACCTACCTGACAGGGGTGTCTGTTGTGGGGAGAGGGAGGGAAGGATATTGAAAGCCTCTCTGAGACTCCCAAGTGAAGGGCCATGGGGTATAAGTCCAGTCTCCTCTTCTTCTCCCCGGGCTTGAGGTGGTTGTGCGGGGAGAGCGGCAGCCAGCCCAGCCTCCTGAAGGGCAGCAGGGCCGGGTCTCCCCTGGGATGGTAGAGGGAGGCCTCCATCCGTGAGGCTGCTGTCTGAGGAGGGCCCCGGGGCCGTCTTGTGTTCCAGCTCGAAGGAGACCTCCCCAAGGGCATCCAGGTGGAGGGGAACGTCCTGACCATCCCGGCGGCCCGGCCGGACGATACCGGCATCTATGTCTGCACGGCCTCCAACCGGCAGGGGAAAGTGACGGCCTTCTCCATGCTGAAAGTGCGAGGTGAGGGGGCTGCACCCGCGTGGGACCCCTGGGGCGCGGAGCGTCTCTTCGTTCCCCTGCGGAGTGGGCCAGTGGCGACCGCTGGTCTCCGGGGGCTGCGGGCTTCCACCGAACTCCTCCCCCTCTGGAGTTGAGGATGGGGATTCCTCTCCACCAGCCCCCACGCTCCCTCCTGCCTCTGGAGGGGGGGCTGTCTCAGAGGGTGGCCCGGGGGGGGGGGAGCCTGCAAGAGAAGAACGAGGTCAGAGTCCAGCCACACCTGAGGGACCAGCCAGAAGCTTCTGAGAGTCCCAGGCTCCCTCTCAGCTGCGGAGTCCTGTGAGCAAAATGAGCTCCTGGCATTCAAGTGGTGAGCGAGCGATTGGGCTGCTGCCTAAATCAGTTGGCTCCGGAGCCATCCCTTCCTGAGCGGAGGCAAAAATGTGTGAGCCAAGCGGCTAAAAAACCGGTGAGCCAGCTCACAGTGACTCAGCTTAGAGGGGACACAGGGCCTGGACTGAGTCCTTTTGGGGAGAGTCACACCGTGCCCGAGGCTGTGTGGTGGGGCAGCTCTCCAGAGAGGGGTGGGAAGCTGGCCTTCCTTGCCCCCGGCCGTGGCTATGGTGACTGGCCCCGCCTTCAGCCCCCTCGCTTGGATTGCAGAGCGGGTGGTGCCGTATTTTACCCAGAATCCTCAGTCCTACCTCGTCCTGCCAACCATGAAAGACGCCTACAAGACGTTCGCCATCGAGATCACCTTCCGGCCGGACACTCCTGACGGTAAGTAGAGGCGCCCGGGGGCAGAGAGGGAGGGGGAGGTGCTCCGGGTCTCCCCATGAGCCAGAGGGCCCCAATTCTGTAACCGGCCTTTCTCTGCGCGCTCTCTTTGGGCATCTCTCACTCAACGCTCTGTCTTCCCTCTTACTTCCTCCTCCTCCTCCTCTCCTGTCTCTGTTGCCCCCCCTCCTCCCCCTCTGGGGGTCTCCACTGCCCCTCCCTGCCCCTCCAGCCCTCATGCTCTACTCAGGTAAGTGTCCTCCGCGCAGGGCTGGCCGCGGCTTCCTTTCCAGCCAGTCCTAATGGCCTCTCTTAACCTTTTCCGCAGCGGAGCCTTGTGAGTGAGTGTGAATCAAGTGTGTCCCGCTCCACAGGCTTCCCTTTGCACACTAACCCAGCACTGGGGGGGGGGGGAGCTTGGAGCCGCCACAGCCGAGGCTCAAAACCCCCCCCCCCCGCCCCCGTTTGCCTAACTGTTAGTAGTGCGTAGTGGACCTTTGGCCGGGCCTAACCTCCCCATTGGCAGCTTCCTGTCCGAGGGATGCCATTTCCTGCCGCCTTAGCAGGGCTGGATCCTGGGTCTCGTGTTGCACTGTGGTGCCGGTCCATCCCACCGCCTGGCCGGGAAGTGCACCCGTGAGCAGGAGGATTGCTGAGGGGGCGAGCGGTGCCGTGTCCCCCAGCTGGCTGGCTCCTTGCTTTGTGTGATAAAGGGGCACGGAGCCGTAGTCCTCCGTGAGGAATCCCCCCTCTTGACCCGGAGCCCTGCTGCACGGAGCTGAGGCCGTAGCCGTGTCTCCTGCTCGGGCCTTGGTTGCTTTGGAGTAGCTTAGCCGCAGGACCCAGGCCGGTGCCCCGGCTGGGAGTTGCCCCGCGCCGCAGAGCTTGCTGACCTCTCTCCTGTGGCGTCTTTGCAGGGATGCTGGTGTACAATGGCCAGAAGAAAAACACGGGCACCGACTTCGTGTCCTTCGGCCTGGTGGGGGGCCGCCCGGAACTCAGGTGAGATTGGCTGGCCTTCTCCAGCCTGGGGGAGTCCTGGAGATGTGGGGGGAGGGGAGGGAGGCCAGCAGGCACAGCGTTACCATTTCTTCCGGGGGAACCGGTCTCTGCAGTCTGGAAATCAGCTGTAATTCCAGGGAAGTCCCAGGCCCCATCTGGAGGTTGGTACGCCTCGGTGAGATGCTGTGGCATGAAGGGGCACCAGCAGGCCTGGCCTGGCGAGAGGAGTCCCTGTGGAACCATGGGGAGGGGGGCCAGGTGACCACGAATGAGCAGGCATCTCCCTCTGTGCCCAGGCCTCCGTACCCCCCGGCACACAGACAGCCTCCGGCTCTTTGGAGGGCTGCAGCGTGGCATTGCCCCAGTCCCTTGCAGGCACCTCTGGGACGCAGGCAGCTGTTCCCCAGCCTCCACGCTCCCAGTCGCTTTTGCCCATCGTTCGTAACCAGTTTGCTTGCTGCTCCTGAGATTGTGGCAGTTGGAGCGGATTACCTGGCTCTGGTGATGGTGCCTTACAAGCCCAGGGAAGGGGGAGGCAGTTGCTGGCACTCTTGCTTCTTGGCGCTCTCTGGCATTACAGGTTTGACGCTGGCTCTGGCATGGCCACCATTCGCCACCCCTCGGTCATCAAGCTCGGCGAGTTCCACACGGTCCGACTCTACCGCAACCTGACCCGGGGCTCCCTGGTGCTGGACCATCACCCCCCCGTGAACGGCACCTCTCAGGTGAGCGTGCAGAGAGGAGGAGCCGCTGTCCCGGAAAGCAGCCCGGCTCAGCAGAGGGGGGCTTCTCAGGGGAAAGGCACCGGGGCTCTTCGGGGCTGGGTGCCTCCTGTTTGGGCCCTGAGGTTCCAGCTGCTGGCTTGAGCTCATGGCTGAAAGAGGGGCTGCCATTCCCAAGAGCAAACGGGAAGGTCTTCCCACTGACATTGGCCCCCGCGGCCATCGGCACAACCGCCCCGCCCCCCAGAAAATGGAAGGGGGCGGGAGGGAGCCGCGGGGCAGCCGCCCCTGCGGGATTTGCATGCCACCCTCTTGTGTCTCCCCAGGGCAAATTCCAAGGTCTGGACCTGAACGAGGGGCTGTACTTGGGCGGATACTCCAACTATGCTGCCGTCGCCAAGACTGGCCTCAGCAGCGGCTTCGTTGGTGAGAGGAACCTGGTTGCCCGTCAGTGGCAGGGCCGGGGGGGCTGGCCAGGCTTGTCCCAACGGGAAGGGGTGCAGGGGTCCCCATGCCTTTCTTGGAGACAGGAGAGGGCACCTCTCCGTTCACTGGGAAAAGACACACGAGAGGCTTCCCCGGAACTTGTTGACCTCCCCTCCAGCTCTCAGCTCTCTCCGTTTCCTTCTGCCGGGGGGGGGGGGGGCGTGGCGCGGGGCCGGGGGACAGAGAAGGTTCCTGCCGCCCTCCTCCTCCTCCTCCTCCTCCTCACCTCTGCCGTGGACTCACCGGGTGGCCTCAGGCAGCCACCTCCAGAACGGGGTTCATGATGGGGGGGCCTCATCTGCAAGGCGGCGGCTGAAGAGGGCGACAAAGAGGATCAGAAGTGCTTTTTCTGCCTCTGGTGGCCGATGTTCTTGGGACTGCTCTGCTGGCCCCACTTCTTCTCACCCACCAGTCGACTCCCTCCCCCCCCCATACCCCAACCCTGCCGTTGTCGCCCCTGAATCCCCACAGTTGGGTGTCGTGGTGAGGAGCGCAGACTCTAATCTGGGAGAACAGGGTTTGATTCCCCACTCCTCCCCATGCAGCTGCTGGTGTGACCTTGGGTCAGTCACAAGTTCTCTCAGAGCTGTTCTCTCAAGAGCAGTCCTCGAAAAGAGCTCTCTCAGCCCCGCCTGCCTCACAGGGTGTCTGTTGTGGGGAGGGGGAGGGAAAGGAGTTTGGGAGCCGCTCTGAGACTCCTTTGGGTAGTGAAGGGAGGGGGATAAATCCAATCTCCTCCTCCTCCTTCTCCCTCTCAGGATGTGTCCGGCAGCTCATCATCCAAGGGAAGGAGGTGATCTTCAAGGACTTTGACTTGCAAGCCCAGGGGGTGTCGAATTGTCCCACCTGCCAGGACCAGCCATGCCAGGTAGCTGCCCGCAGGGCTGGCAGAGGGCAGCGTGGCTTCACCCACCTCCCCGCCCCGAGGAGGCTGGGCTTCGGAGGTGGGATGGCCCCTTGCCGGTGACCTTAACCCTTTGCCTGCCTTTCCCTCCCTTGCCCAGAACGGAGGCCTCTGCAGGGACTCGGAGAGCAGCAGCTACGTGTGCGAGTGTCCCCGGGGATTTGCCGGCAGCAACTGCGAACACTCCCAAGCCCTGCGCTGCCACCCAGGTGAGGTGCTGGTGCCCCCTCTGTAGGTGCAGGGATCTCCCTTCCCTCTGCACGGCCACTCCTCCACTCGCAACTGCTGGATGACCTTGGGCAAGCCGTAGTTCTGAGCTGTTTCTGTCCGAGCTCCCTCAGCCCCGCCTCCCTCACAGGGTGTCTGTCTGTTGTGGGGAGGGGAAGGGAAAGGAGTTTGTAAGCCGCTCTGAGACACCTTTGGGTAGTGAAGGGCCATGGGGTATAAAGCCAATCTTCTCCTCCTCTTCTTCCTCATGAGTGGCAGCTGGCAAGCTCTAGGGGGAACGGCTGTGGCTGGGCCGTGCGCCCCCTCTACTGAGTCACTGGGTGTGGGAGAAGAGCAAGGGTAGGGCATGCGCCCAGGGGGCTTCAGCGCATCCACCAGCCGTTCCCCCCCCCCTTCTGATCTGTTAGTGTTCTTTGAGGGGGTGAACAAACATGTGGACAAGGGGGATCCAATAGATATTATTTACCTTGACTTCCAGAAAGCTTTTGATAAAGTTCCTCAGTAAGCTCAAAAATCATGGGATAGAAGGACAAGTCCTTTTATGGATCAAAAACTGGCTAGTTCATAGAAAACAGAGAGTGAGTGTAGGTGGGCAATTTTCTCAGTGGAGGGTGGTAAGCAGTGGGGTACCGCAGGGATCAGTACTTGGTCCACTGCTTTTTAACTTGTTCATTAATGATCTGGAGATGGGAGTAAGCAGTGAAGTGGCTAAATTTGCGGATGATACAAAGTTGTTCAGGGTGGTGAAAACCAGTGAGGATTGTGAGGCACTCCAAGGGGATCTGTCAAGGATGGGCGAGTGGGCGTCAACATGGCAAATGGGGTTCAATGTGGCCAAGTGCAAGGTGATGCACATTGGAGCCAAAAATCCTAAATATAAATACACATTGATGGGGTCTGAACTGGCAGAGACTGAGCAAGAGAGAGATCTTGGAGTTGTAGTGGATAACTCACTGAAAATGTCGAGACAGTGTGTGACTGCAATAAAGAAGGCCAATGCTATGCTGGGGATTATTAGGAAGGGTATTGAAAACAGATCAGCCAATATAATAATGCCCCTATATAAATCAATGGTGAGACCTCATTTGGAATACTGTGTGCAGTTCTGGGCACCACACCTTAAAAAGGATATTATAGCTTTGGAAAAAGTGCAGAAAAGGGCAACTCGAATGATAAAAGGGTTGGAACACTTTCCCTATGAGGAAAGGTTAAAGCGCTTAGGGCTCTTTAGCTTGGAGAAAAGACGACTGAGGGGTGACATGATCGAGGTTTATAAGATTATGCATGGGAAAGAGCAGGTAAAGAAAGAGGTACTTTTCTCCCTTTCTCACAATACAAGAACTCGTGGGCACTCCATGAAACTGCAGAGCGGTCGGGTTAGAACGGATAAAAGGAAGTACTTCTTCACCCAAAGAGTGATTAACACATGGAATTCACTGCCACAGGAAGTGGTGGGTGCTACAAGCATGGACGGCTTCAAAAGGGAATTAGATAAGCATATGGAGCAGAGGTCCATCAGTGGCTATTAGCCACAAGGTATAGCTAGGGGCTCTGGGGCAAGTGATGCTCTGTCTTCTTGGTGCTTGGGGGGGTCAACAGTGGGAGGGCTTCTAATGTCCTGGCCCCACTGCTGGACCTCCTGATGGCACTGGTATTTCTGGCCACTGTGTGACACAGAGTGTTGGACTGGATGGGCCTTTGGCCTGATCCAACATTGGCGTCTCTTATGTTCTTATGTTCTTCTTATGATCTGGGGGGAGGGAACCGGCTTTGACACGTCTGTGGCCCACAGGCCTCGGGTACCGGGCTCGGAGCAGCAGCGGGGCCCAGGCCGCACAAATGGGGAGCCGGGGGGGGGGCTAGTTCAGCTGGAGAGCAGCTGCTCCGCAGGCGGGGAATCCCCCATGTCCCTCTCTCGGCCAGAGGCACCAGGCACGGCTGGCCAGGATGACCCCCCCCCAGAGCGCTTCTCTGACTCAACCAAGGTGCCTCCCCTCCCCTTCCCAACTTGGTTTCCTGGGCGCAGGCTGGATTTGTGCCAAAGTGTCAGAATCCTGGCTAAGTCAGTTCTCAACACCCCTCGCTTCAAAGACAGTTCGGTTTATGGAGACGTTGAAGAACACCATACTGAACACGAGCTTTGTTAGGACTGGAGGTGAAAGCGCGGAGATGGCAGATAGAGTGTGTCCAAGCAAAGGCACTCAAGATCAGGACCCCACCACCCCAGGGCATTTGCCCGCCAGAAATAACAGTCAACTACCCTCCCCCCACTAAGCAAGTACCCCTCCACAGAAATAAAGCAAAACAACAGGTCTCAGCGACACACCGTGTCTGGCTCATCAAAGCATTTAGGAAAACGGAAGCATTTGGTTTCCACACCACTCTCCTCCTCCTCCTCCTCCCGCCTCTGTGGCAGGCGAACCATAAAATGCGAGCTGAGCCTGGCACCAAGCCCCTCGGAGGTTCCTGGCGAGCTGTGGCAGCTGCTTGGGGCCCTCGTGCCACATGACCTTCTCTGCTTTTCCCCCTACAGAGGCCTGCGGCCCTGATGCCACCTGCGTCAACCAGCCCAGCGGTCGAGGCTACAGCTGCCGGTGCCTCCTAGGCCGGCACGGGGAGAAGTGCATGGCAGGCGAGTGCGGGCAGAGGGCCAGCCTCGGGGGGGGGGGAAGAAGTGGCGAGCTGCAGCCCCGCCTGACCCCGCCCCCTGCTCACAGGTGCCGCGGTGACCACACCTTACTTCCACGGCGGGGACGCCTTCGTCTCCTACCCGCCCCTCACCAACATCCACTACGAGCTGCGCCTGGACGTCGAGATCAAGCCTCTCGCCCCCGAGGGCCTCGTCCTCTTCAGCGGGGGCAACGGTGCCCCGGTGGCAGACTTCGTCTCACTCAGCATGGTCAACGGGCACGTCGAGTTCCGCTACGAGCTGGGCTCAGGTAAAAGGTCTGCCCTCCAGAAGAGCGCAGTCCTTTTCTCCCCGTGCAGGAGTCCCTGGCAGCAGCGGCCACCTTCCGGTGGGATCACGGTCCAACTAAACGCCCCCCTCCCCCCCGGTTTGGAAAGGAAGCGCCTGTTCCCAGCCCTCCTCTCTCCGTCCTCTTGCAGGCACAGCCGTTCTCCGGAGCACGACGCCCATTGAGCTGGGCCAGTGGCACAAGATCACAGCGGAGCGCTTGAACAAAGACGGGTCCTTGCGGGTGGATGGCGAGAGGCCGGTGAAGAGGTCCTCGCCGGGCAAAAGCCAGGGCCTGAACCTGCGCACCTCTCTGTACCTGGGTGGCGTGGATGATACCATCCAGCTGCCAGCAGCCGCCAACAGCAGCAGCCACTTCTACGGCTGCATCGGGGAGGTGAGTCCCGTGGCCGCCGGGCAGAGGAGAGGGCTGGCCTGGGTGGGACCTGGACCCTGGGAGTGGCAGGGCTGAGCAGCCAGAGGGCCAGTTCCTGCCATGGCCGGCAGTCTTGAGACAGAAGGGGACTTGGCTGAAGAAGGAAATGGCCGCCTCCTCCCTCCCTCCCTGGTGGGCTTCCCGAGAGAAATCCGCTTTCACCAAGGAAGCTGGCCGGTGTGGCTAACTCACGCTCTTCCCCCTGCAGGTTTCAGTCAACGGGAAAAAGGTGGACATCTCGTACAGCTTCCTGGAGAGCCGCGGCATCTCTCAGTGCTTCGACAGCTCCCCCTGCGATCGCAGGCCGTGCCAGCACGGGGGCAAGTGCCTGCCCACCGGGGAGTACGAATTCCAGTGCCTGTGCCCAGAGGGCTACAAGGGTGAGTGAGGCTGGGGGGAGGGAGGGAGGGGGAGGGAGAGCACCCCTCCTCCTCCTCCTCCTACCCATGCTTCTGCACCTCCCCTCCTCCCTTCGGAGCATGGCCAGGGGGCCACACACACCCCCGTTCTGCATGTGTGAGCTCAGCGCCAATGCTTTGTGTGTTTGCGTTGCCCTCTTTCTGCAGGCGAGCGCTGTGAGGAGTCAGAGGTCCACTGCCGGCTCCCGCACCCCTGCCTCAACGGGGGCACGTGCCAGGATACGGCGTGTCTCTGCCCCGCGGGCTTCCTGGGCTTATACTGTGAGCACGGTGAGTCCGAGGGCCAGGCTGGCTGGAGCAGGGGGCCAGCACTCTCTCCCGAGCAGGCTTGTACCCAAGAGCTGCTTTGCCACCCTGACCGGCAGGAGCCCCCCCACCCCCGTGTCTCTCATGGGGTTCCATGCATAAGACCCCTGTCCATCTCTTGGCCCACAGACGCAACCCAGCACCATCTGAATGCACAGAAGGCAGCGGGGGCAGCGGTGAGTTGAGGAGCCTTCGGCCTTCGCCTCTTGTTAGGGGATGGGGGGGCATGGTGGTCCGGATCCCGCGGCAGAAAAGCTGGAGCTGCTGTGGCTGGCATGCTGACTGCCAGGGCAACAATGACAAGTACATCCTTTCAATGCCTTCCCCTCCACAAAGAGGATGGCTGGGCTTGCCCAGAAACCCCACACACACACACACCCGATAAGGTTTCTTTTGTGCTGGCCTCTGGGGCTGTCGTGGGCTGGGAACATTTTGCAGCTCGGGTTTTCCTTCCACTAGATGCCCCGGGGCAATACAGTGCCTACTTCCAGGACAGCAGCTACGTGGCCCTTCCGCGGCACGCCTTCCCCAGGAGGTGAGAGAGGGTCTTCCTTCCCACACCCAAGGCTGGCCGCCCCCCCCCCCCCCCCCGGTGTGGCACGAAGGGCGCTGGGAGAGTGGTGTGAACAAGACTGGCGGAGGGGGAAGAGTCGAGGCAGCTGGTGGGCAGAGCTGGGAGGGGAGGTGGCTGCCGGCGGCAGGGCTCCAGTCCTGTGCCGAGCTCTGGTTCTGGACTTGGGGCAGTCACGCCACGGCTGCCCCATGCAGGAGAAGCCTCCTTCCCCCTCCCTCAAAGGGGCTCCCATGGGGAGAGCCCCCACCCCTCGGCCTCTTCTTTTTCAGCCTCCCCGACTCCCCGGAGACGATAGAGATGGAGGTGCGCACCAGCTCTCCAAGTGGGCTGCTTCTCTGGCAGGGCGTGGTGAGTGAGTGAGAATGGAAGCAGCCCTGGAGCCAGGCGGGCCTGCAGAGAGGGAGGGGTGCCTTCTGAGGCCGTCAGGGGAGGATGAAGAGCTGCTGGGGCGGGTGAATTGGGGGGGGAGGGTCTGGAGAAACCAGGCAGGAGGCCTTGGCGAGCCCTCACTGCTGCAGTGACAGAGGTGGAGCAGCTGGCATTGGGCTACCCTAGGCAGTGGATCTCCCTTCCAGTGCCGCAAACGCCACCTCCTCTCTCCCGTGCTCCACGCCCAGCCACAGCGCCCCCCCCCCGAACACATCTTAGCCAGAGCAGCTGGGCTGAAGGGAAGCAGGCTGTGTTCCAGTTGCAGGAGAGAGGAGGCAGCGTTTGCTGGATGGGCAAGGGAGTCCACCATGTGGGGCAGCCCAGCTTGAGAAGCAATGGGGAACACCCGCCTGTTGCATGATCGCATGCAGCTTGCTGCTGGGAGGGGGGGTCCCTCTCCCCTCCCATTGCCTGCGCCTGCCTTCCCCAGACCGGTCTGCAGCCAGCTTCTGCTCTGCACCGCAGGGCTCTGCACCGCATCCATCCCCAGGTGAGCCCACCCCCGCGGCGGCTGCCCCCGCGGCTGCTTCTCCGCCCCCCGGGCAGGGGGGTGCTCTGGCTGCTCGGCATGCCGCTTTGCTCATGGTGGCACTTCCCCTGCATGGTACTGGCCAGGTCTCTCTCTCTCTCTCTCTCCCTGTCCAGACAACCAGGGAGACGGGTCCTGAGCTGCATGTCGCTAGCGAGGTATTTGCTGTGAGGAGGAGGCGGAATTGCATGGCTGGGGTGTGTGTGTGCTCTAGCCTTCCTGCACAAAGGTCCTGGGAGGGCTCGTTTCCACGGGGCTGGGCAAGTGCCAGTGTGGGTTGGCATACTCCCGCTGGAGTGAGTGATACATGAGCTGCGGGGGGGGGGGCGGTTAGAACATGGGCGGCTGGAGGCGTGGCCATCGCGTCCTGGGCCTGCCCAGCAAGGCTGCCTGTGAAGTGCAACTGCTGTGCTTGGCATGCCTGTCCAGCCCCCGGGGCTGCTTTCCTCCCACGAAGCCAACCCCATCCTCTCCTAGGAAGCGCTCACTCCCTGCTTTGCTCTCTGTCACAGGAGGAAGGGGAAAGCGGGAAGGCCAAGGACTTCATCAGCCTTGGGCTGAGAGACGGATACCTGGTGTTCAGGTGAGTGAAGCCCCACCCACCCGAGACGCCACCTTCTCCGTTGCCCCACCCCCTTCCCCCATGTCGTCGCATCTGGCGACAGGAGTCCGTCCTTGGAGCCTGACGAAGTGTCTTCTGTAGCTTTCAGCTGGGCAGTGGGGAATCCAGCATCCTGTCCGAAGACCCCGTGGACGACGGCGAGTGGCACAAGGTGACGGCCATTCGGTGAGCAGGGTGGCAGAGGCCGGCGGGGGTGGGGGACGGGATCCGGCTATCCAGCCTGCGGTGGAGCAGCGAGGCAAGGAGGACGAGGCTCCGGGCCAAGCAGGGGTGCCCAGCCGGCTGGCCCCAGAGGCTTCTCTTCCCCCCCTCCCCCGCCGTGCTGGTTCTCTCTCTCTCCAAAAGTCAGCCCTGGGGTCTTTCTGTTCCTCCTCCAGGGAAGGGCGGAGAGGCTTCCTTCAGGTCGACGGGGAGGAAACGGTGACCGGGGAGTCCCCGGGCAAGAATGTCATGGTGAATGCTAAAGGCCCAGTTTACATAGGTAAGCCCAGTTTGGACTCGGGAAACCTGGAGAGCCCAGGCAAGTCCAGTCTCGTCAGATCTTGGAAGCCAAGCAGGGTCGACTCTGGCAAATACCTGAAAGGGAGATCTCCAAGGAATACCAGACGTTGGGAGGCAGGGGGGCAGGCTTTATTCAGCCACCTCTCTGAATGTCCTCCAGGCCCCCAGTAGGGGTCAGTCACCAGAGGTCGCCGTGACTTCCAGGGGCACACACACTCATGCACATATGAAAAATACAAAAAGACACTCCCCAAAAAGAAAATCTGGAGTGGCTGTTAGAGTGGGTGGGACATAGTCCCACAGGTCTTGCATCTGTGGATCACAAATGCTGTTGTGGACGTGGCCATGATGGTAGCAGCCCCGGTTGGCTTGCGTGGCCCAGAGGTGAACACTGGTGGCCCCCTGGAGCTTCCTCTAAGGCTCCTGTGAGAATCCCGCAGAGGGGCCCTGGGGAGGGAGGGAGGGCTGTCCTGAGACCCAAGAGGCCAGCATGGGTGCACGGGGCCTACTCCTGAACCCTTGGCGCACCCTTTGGGGACTCGTGGCCTCCTCCTGGGGAAGAGGCGAGCGATTTCCTTGAAACTAGATTCTGACCGGTGGTCCCTTCTCCTTCTCTCCCCCCCCCCCCTCCCCCCACACAGGACCCGATATCCAAACCTTGACTGCAGGCAAGTACATCTCAGGACTCACCGGGTGCGTTAAAAACGTGGTGCTGATCAACGAGAGGCCGGGCCAGCACCCTCAGCCGCCAGTGGACCTTCAGCACCACTCCGAGGCGGCCGTGAACACCCAGGAGTGCCCCTCGTAGGCCAGGCCGGCCTCTTCCACACGCCTCGCTGTTCTCGTGTCATCAGGCCAACCCAGAGACATCTGTTATTGTTATTATTATTTTATTATTATGAATTTTTTTAAGAAACGAAAATGGTGCTTTGCTGCTACCAAAAAGGGGGGGTTGGTTGGTTTGTGTTTGTGTAAGTGACAGACCAGCGGGCCGGTCGTGGCCCCCTCCCCCCACCGGGAAGGACAGAGGCGGCTCAGCAGCGGACGCCCAGGACCACCGGAGAGCTGCACTGGTGGGAGGAGGAGGAGGACTGCCGCTCCTGCTGCTGCCGCTGCTCAAGTGCTTCTGGGACGACCAGCGAGGCACACTCGGAGGACTTGCGCCTGGGGGACTGGTGCAGCCTGTTCTCCGTGCCTGGGGGTGGGGTGGGGCGGGGCTTCTCCACTTCAGCTGATAGGCTGGACCAGGCAGGTCGCGACCAAAGATTGCCACCTTCCCCAGGGGGGAGGAGGGATGTCCTTGCTGCCCGGGAGAGGAAAGAGCTCCTGATTCTCAGCAGCATCTGCCACTCTTGCCCGGTCAGGCCAGGCTTACTGAGAGCAGCGGGGGGAAGGAGTGACGCCCGTCACACCCACCCCCACCCCCACATCTGGCACTCGAGGAGCTTCTACGCTTGGCTGGGGGGTGGCCGTCCCTGAGCTTTCTGTGTTTGTCACAATGTCCCTTCCCTGCCTCAAACGACCTCATAGAGTGTGGATCGGGGCTGGGAGGCTGTGGCCTCCCCCCGCACTCCCCCTCCCCTGCTGGCTTGGGCCTGTGAGCACCACCGGGGGCGTCAAACCACAGCTGTGTCCAAAGACCACAAGGCAGAGCCGGGTGCCTTCCTCTCCCCCCCCCCAAGTCCACAGCCCCCACATTTCTTCAGTGCCTTCTGCAGTGGATCCCCGTGCTCCTGCCGACAGCCAGCCCCCAGCTTTGGGGGGCTTAGACGGGGCTCTTCTCAGAGCCTCTTGCAGCCCCCTTTCCAGCAGCCGGTCCCCCCTGGCCACGGATGGGGCCGGAGCAGGGCGTTGGGAGCAGCTGACCCGCCTTCCTCCTCCGTGGCGCCTGTCTGCGCTCTCTGATGTGAGCCAGGGGCAGAGGTTCCCCTCCGGGCTGCCTCGGTGTGGTGCTTAAGAGGCAGAAGGTGCCCTTCGTAGCGGAGCACGGGGCTTTCTTCCACCAGGACACCCCCCCCCCAAGATCTTGCCGTCACTGAGGATGGCAGGCCGAGGCAGAGCACAGGCGTTGACCAAAACGAGCAGCCCGGCCCCTCTCCTCGAATGCCTCGGGCCCTGTTCTCACGTGGGGGTGCAGGCAGACGGGGCCTCCTCCGCAAAGCAGTGGGGGGTCCCGGGATGGCTCCCCAGTCGGGCGCCCCCGCCCCCTTCTCCTCGTGGCTCGTTGGGGACCAGGTGTGCCTCCCCCTACCCGGACTCCTCTGCCTCGGCCGCCTTCGCCAAGGATCAGAACACTGCCCGGGAGGCCCCTGCGCCACTCAGGCGGTCCCGGAACGCATTCCTGTCTATGCTGTCCCCGCCTGCCCCCCCCCCATTTGTTCTTGTTTTCTTTCTTAAATAAATGGTGCTGAACCCCAGGAGACTGGTGACTGTGTGCCCCCTCCTCCTCTGGACAGCCCTCAGCTGAGCCGGGGTCGAGGTGGACGCGGAAGGCAGGGAGGAGGGCGGGGGAGAGGGAAAACCCAGGGGCAGGTGGGTGCAGCCCGTGGCACAGCTAGGAGCAGGCCGGGCAGGAAGCTCCCCAGCCGCCCGCCTTGCCAGTGGCCCATCCCCACTGCTGCCGCCGCCGCCGCCGCCCTTGGGCTGCCTCCTGCAGGGAAGGACCGATGTCACACGGGGGATTCAGCGCCGGCAGCCGGGGTCACTTTGGTGGGCTTCCGGTGGGCACAGCTCTGTGCGCAGAGGTGGCAGGCAGCACAGGCGGCATTGCAGCCGGGCAGGAACCTGCAGGCACCGACTCTCCACAGGAAGAAGCCTGGAGTCCAGCAGCACCAGTACAGGAGAGCCGCCCCTGCGAGGGCAGCCAGTGAGGCAACAAGGGGCTGGTGCTTGTCTGCCGGGGAAGAAGCAGGAGGCCGACAGGCCGTGGAGCCAGCCCAGGAGGCCTGTACCTGCCGTGTCTGGGGGTGGCCGAAGGCTCTCCTTGGGTCCCATGCAGGTCCCCTGTCTTGGCAAAGCACTCACTGCAGCAGAGGCCCTGGCCGGCGGGGGGCCCAGAAGTGCCGGAGAGCCTGGAGGGAGGGACCGGCCGGAGTCATAAGAACATCAGAGAAACCAGTGTTGGTGTGTCCAAGACAGAAGGCTTCCCCCAGCCCCAACACTCTATACCAGGGGCCATCAGGAGGTCCAGCAGTGGGGCCAGGAGGACACTAGAAGCCCTCCCACTATTGACCCCCCCCCCCAAGCACCAAGAATACAGAGCACCCCTTGCCT